ACACACACACACACACACACATATATATATATACAACAACACACACACACACACACACACACACACACACACACACACACACACACATATATATATATATATATTGTTTTGTTCATAGGTCATACACATTCATATTCAGCGATAACATATTGTTGCAAATGTCGTGACCAACACATACCTTTACGTGAAATTATGTCCATCACCTCATCATACATTTCTATAGCCTTGCCTTTCGAATTATTACCAGCGAACTCCATTTCGATGGCCATATGCAACAGTGACCACTGATTGAATATTCCATCAACGAGTTTCCCCATCACTCCAATTTGTGTCAGCTTTCCTCCCTCGGCATCGCAAAGTAACCTATCACCATCTATGCTTTGTACTTCAGACATTTTGTGTTCGCGTGTAATGATATCTAATACTTACACTGTGCGTGTATTTTGTGTTTCCGATTTTGCGTGGTGTGTTATATAGAGATTTCTGCATTCAACTATATACAGCTATTATGCCTTTGTTGGGTGTCGGCGGAATGTTTATGTCTGTTTTTAAACAATATACGGATGTTCTCCAGTCACAACCAAATTGGGTATGCTGAAAGTGTCTAATCCACGATTGTCTCTGTATGTATAAAATAAGGGGTCGATTCTCTGGAGATTATCCTATATAAGCTGCAAACATACAGGAACCTCTTACATATTAATTAATAGGTGCATGTAGATAAATAATTTGAACTCGTCTACAGAATGATTCAACACGAATTGCGCAAGTATGTATGTATGTATGAGTACTAAATATATCATCTTAAAAAGAAGTCATTCGAATGCGAGTTTGTCGTGGAATGATTCACGCGAGCTGTGATATTGAAACGTATTAAATCGTGATCGTTTTTTGGATTACAGTTCAATATGTCACCACTTTTTGACCCGGGTTCAGCCTAAATACCTTGTGAAATTTTAATGATTTGTTTTAATGAATTTTATGTATTTTAGTTTACGTTAAACGTTTACTACATGGGCAGCTGGGTGTATATATTTATGTACATAAAATACCACAATAAATAACACAAAAACCGACTCATTTGACTGTTTATTTATATGGGCATTCAAGCCCATTATATTCTCCATATAATACGCAGTCTTCTGTACAATGTATATAGCCTGTAAAACGTAAATAAAGACTCGTTACATAATACTCTTTAAGAACGTATCTGATTCAAGCGTCCCTACTAGAGAGAGAGAGAGACGCCCTTGCTGAGATGTGATTGTCCATATCCACGCACGTACGCATCATTACAATGTTTTCATTAAGAGCTGGTCTTCTGAAAGTCCCCCGATTCTACCCTATCTACACACATACACGTACTGCAACTACACATACACGTACTGCAACTACACATACACGTACTGCAACTACACATACACGTACTGCAACTACACATGCAACACACACACAACGCAAATCCGCCCGTGCTTTCAGTACCCGCGTGTCCCCGCGTTATGTAGGGTCGCTACTTGTGGCTACTTGTATTGGTTGTATCATTGGGGCGACAAGTATGGGACTCATTGACAAGAGCCAGAGGAACAAGTCACCAAACAGACTGATAGGTGATGAACTAACAAACAAGCTTCTAGAGATGCCTCCGGATGGCACTGACGTACGTGTTTGAACTTGGGAGCATGGTTGTGCAGTGGATGAGGTCTTGTAATAACGAAAGATTCAATTTAGCTTGTTTTTTAATCGTTTTCATAGTTCCACCGATTGAATAACGATCTTATCTACTCGAGTGTATACTTGTAGGATGCAAGCTGGAGTTACCTTGATCGAATTTAGTTTTAAACGATTTTTTTCTTCTT